AAAAAAAAAAAAAAGAAACAGCGTTGAGATCTTCGTGGAGTATTCGACGCGATGATCCAGTGTCCAATAGTTCAGGGGACCTCGGTGCTATTTTTGTAGGGGTTTTTTTTTTTTCCGGGCGCCTTCTGCCCGGATTCATGCCCGGTTGTCTGGCTGGGTTCCGGGCATCCCCAGCGCAAAAAAAAAAAAAAAAAAGAAAAGTAAAAAAATTCCGGGCATCAACGCAGGTGGGTGAGTGGAATGATCGAGTGTCTGACGAGGGAGGAAAGGCGGTGGGGTCGCCCCTGAAGAAGACGGCGCAGCGGGCTGCCACTACCCGCCCGCTCTGCAAGCATTGTACTTCTGTATCAATGATGTACTATCTGTATCGTTGGTGCAATTGCCTACTTGAGTATACTTGTGCTCCCTGTGTGTTGTGCTCCTTGTGCATGTATCTCACTTGTCTACAGTCTAAGCTGGGTTCCGGGCATCCACAGCACAATATCTGGCCCCCCTGTAATTTTGCGTTATTTCGTGTCGTGCCCCTCCGACGGCCGATTTACCCTGTCGCGCCCCTGGCCAAAAAATATTTTTGGCAGGTCCTTGTCGGTAGTGACCGCAAGTTTCCAGGACGCCCTCCTTGGACTGACGGTCGGGCCCTGTGCCATATGCCCTCATGACGGGCAGCCATCTTTCTGGAATGCCCCCGCAGCCCTGAGGCACCACAAATTCGCATTTCCTTCGGGCCCTGTGCCATATCGTCCGCTTCCCTGCAAGTGTGTGTGTGTGTGTGTGTGAGAGAGAGAGAGAGAAGTCTCTCTCTCTCTCTCTCTCTCTCTCTCTCTCTCTCTCTCTCTCTCTCTCTCGCCCCCTGATTGTCGTCCCAGACTTCTTCTTTCCCGCCATTGCACTCGTCGAGGTCGCCCTTGCCCTCTTCGTTGACTCAGACTGTCCACCAAGGATGTTTGTCGGAAGAGGGAGCTGCCCCTGCATCTTGGAAAGCAGTAGAAGATGTGGCAGACGTGGCATAAGAGGACGTAGCAGAAGATGACGTGGCAGCAGATGACATAGCAGCAAATGGCTTGGCAACAAATGGCACCAGTAGGGGCATCTCGAAAATTTACCCGCTGGCTTTTAACGGCCATCCGGAAGGGGCATCCTGGAAATTTGGGACGGGTACCGGTAGGAGCAAAACGAAAAGATTTGAGGCCCAAACGACACCGGGGTCTTATGGAAAATTTGAACCCTGCTCAGAGGAGCGCGGCAGGGTAAATAGGCTGTGGGAGGGGTGCGGTGCAAGAAATGCCGGGCGGTGGGGAGTTGCGGACGACGAGGCATATAGCCTAAGCCCCCCGTTCAGAAAACGACCAAAAAAAATAGAAATAAACACCCTTCTAGACCCCTTACACCCCTCGATATCACTCCCCTACAGCCCTGAACACCCCTCCCCTACACCCCCAACACCCCTCAACGCCCCTCTCTCTCTCTCAGAGTCTCTCTGTCTCACACACACACACACACACACAAGAGTGCCTGCACTCCAGCAGTGAGCACTTCTGAATGGAAGTGCTCCCGTTGGGAGCACCCAACTTATTGGGCAGGCCGGGGCAGCTGGGAGGTTCTCTCTAGCCATCGGTCCCCGGCAAGGCTCTGACAGATGGCCCATACCCCTGTGGGGTTTTTCGTTTTTTATGTAAAAAGAAAAAATCAAAAGTTTGGGCAGGTCCCCGACTGCTGGGATCAGCCCACCATGCCCACGGAAACGGCGTTGCCCCACCCCGCAACCTCTTACGGGCCCATCAACAAAACGAGAACATACAACACAAATTTGAAAAAGGGGAATGGTTATTTCAGATTGTTGCTTATATGGATGCTGCAGAGCCTTGGCAATACGGATTTCAAGATGCAGCCAACCCTATGCTGCAAGGAATTATTGAGTGCGCTGGCCGCGCTGC